GGGGTTTTACGAGACAGGGTTTCTCTGTATTGTTTTGGAGGCTATCGGTCCAGCCCGGCCTCGAACTCACAGAGATCCGCCTGCCTCTGCCTCCCGAGTGCTAGGATTAAAGGCATGTGCCACCAACGCCTGGCCACAGCAACTCTTACAAGAGAAAACACTTAACTGGGGCTTGCTTACGTTTCAGAGATTTAGTCCACTGTCATGGTGGGGAGCATGGTGGCATACATGACAGACATTTTGCTGGAATAACTGACCCACAGGCAGGAGGAAGAAAAAGACCTGGACCTAGCTTGGGCTTTTGAAACCTCAAAGCCCAACCTCAGTGACACACTTCCTCCAACAACACACCTCCTAATCTTCTCACGAAGTGCCATTCCCTGATGAGTAAGCATTCAAATATATGGGGACCATGCTTATTCAAGCCACCACACTTCCTAACCATTTTTTCCAAACTCAAAATAAGATGTCCTAGGCCAGACTACGGTTCACACCTGTAATCCCAGTACTAGGAGTCTGAGACGGAAGAGTCTAAGTTTGAGGTTAACATGGGTAACTAGTCAGTAATGTATGAGCCTGTACTGGAAAGCTGAGGCAGCAGGATCATGAGTTTGAGGCCAGCCTCGACTGTAGAGTTTCAGTTATTCTGCCTCAAAAACATACAACAAAACAAAGCAAAATTTAAAAACTAGATGCAATGTGTCAAAAGGAAAAAAAAGTTTCTTATTTCACTTCACAGCCTGCTCAAGCTTAGCAAAGATCCTTCTGAAAGTAAGATTCCTCAATGTTATGCATATTACTACAGGTGAGATAGTACCTTTGTTTATGTGAACTAGTTGTGTGGGGGGAGGGTGGGGCAGGGTATGTTTTGTTTTGGTTTTGGTGCTGGAATCAAATCTGGGCCTTGAGCATCATTGCTGAGCGTTCTAGCACTCAGATACACCATCACTACACACCAACAACATCAGCACATGGAAGGCTAAGATGTCATCACTGAAGTTTAACAAAAGTTAGAAAAACAGTCAAACTTTATTCTTTATTTCTTCTTACTTTAAAAACAAAGTGTCAGGGGCTAGGGATGGTCAACAGTTGAGAGCCCTGGCTGCTTGCTCTTCCAGGACCTGAATTTGATTCCCAGCACGCACAATGGGTGTTTCACAATCACCTAGAGGATCTAATGCCTTCTTCTGGTCTCCCTGGGTACCAGGCACACACATATAACACAAAATATAAATTATTCTTTTTGCTTGTTTAAACTTATTTTACATGTATGGGTGTTTGCCTGCATGCATGTTTGTATGTGTGCCCCATTCATGCAGTGCCTTCAGAGGCCAGAGGAGGACATTGGATCCCCTAGGCTGGAGTTAATGAGTGGAGCCTCCATGTGAGTGCTAGGAACCAAATTAAGATCTTCTGAGCCGGGCGGTTGGTGGCGCACGCCTTTAATCCCAGCACTCGGGAGGCAGAGGCAGGTGGATCTCTGTGAGTTCGAGACCAGCCTGGTCTACAAAGTGAGTTCCAGGACAGCCTCCAAAGCCACAGAGAAACCCTGTCTCGGAAAAAAAAAAAAAAAAAGATCTTCTGGAAAAGTAGGTGGTGTTAACCTTGAGCCATCTCTCTAGCTCTGCTGTTTGAGACAGGGTCTTACTATATATATAGCCCTGGCTGTCCTCCAACTTGCCTCTGCCTTCTACATGCTGGAATTAAAGGCATGGGCCACATGTCCAATTCAAAATAAATCTTTAAACAAACGAAGCATAACAAAACAACACTATATCCATATATAAGGCCATTAACATATAAATAAAATATTTAAACCAGGTACACACACCTATAATCCTAGTACTTGAGGTTAAAGCACATAGACTAGTTGAGGTCAACTTGGGCTGTATAGGGGGAGACTCTTATCTCAAACAACAACACAGACAGACAGACACACAGACAGACACACAGACAGACAGACACACAGACACACACACAAAAGCCAGGCATGGTGGCACACACCTTTAAACCCAACACTCGGGAGGCAGGCGGATCTCTGTGAGTATGGGCTCCAAAACAACACAGAGAAACCCTACCTTGAAGGAAAACACACACACACACACACACACACACACACACACACACACACACACACAAGAATATACAATATGTAATGGCAAGGCTTCCAGATACCAGATAGAAGCCCTAAGGCTTTATCAGATATACATTATTACACCAAACAATTACAAAGAAAAAATTAGCAGGTATGAAATTGCTGGGTACACAAATGAACTAATTATAAACTAGGTTCTGGTGGTACTGAGATATCAAAGACAAGACATTACTCTAAGCATTAGAGAACACACTATGCAGTCTAATAGTGACATAAAAATATGTGTAGATTCCTAAAAGAGTACTGCATTTTAGAGGTCCCTAGGCTAAAGTACAAAGAGGAGATAGTTTTCTTTCTTTTTAATTTTATTTTATGTGTATGAGCATTTTACTCATATGTGTATCTGTGTGCCACTTGTGATTTGGTACTTGCAAGGTCAGAAGACAGTGTTAAGATGCCTTAGAACTTAGAGATGGCTGGCTGCCATGTTAGTGCTGGGAATGGAACCCATGTCTTCTGTAAGAGCAAGCGTTCTTAACTGCTGAGCCATTTCTCTACTCCTGAAAGGTTCCTTGACGGAAGTAAGGATAAAGAGTTGCCTCTCGGGTAAATGAAATAGATGGAGCATGTGCACAGACTCTTTGGGTGGGCTTTGAATTTTGGAAAAGTAGGAAAAATATATATGCATGGCAAGGATACACAGAATAAGAAAAAAATATATAAACAGGTCTAGGGATGTAGGTCAATGGTAGAGTGTTTATCTACCATGAGGTAGGTTCATCCCTGGTACAGAAAGGAAAGAAAAGAACTGTAAAAGCAAGGTGGAGGTGTAGCTTGGTTAGCAGAGTGCTTTCCTGGCATGCAAGATGCTGTAGGCTCAATCTCCAGCTCTGTATACACCAATGGAACCCAGTGGCACACACCAGTAATTCTAATTCTACAAGCACATGGGGAGACTGAGGCAGGACTGCCATGGGTTCATAGCCTGGGCTAGAATGAGACCCTGTCTCAAAAACACAACAAAATTCAAAATATACCTGGTAACTGAAGACCAAGAATGGGTAAGTTTAGAGTGAGAAGGAAAACTAAGGACTAAGACCAAGATTACCAGGCAAAGACACAGCCAACATCAGAGAGGGACCTGAAGAAGAGCTAGAACAGAATCAGAACCATAGAGAGGACAGTATTTCAGGATGGAATCTAAGTCCACATAAATACCTACTCTGGATGAGCAATTAGGAATCCCAGGTCCAAGAATGAGTCAAAAGGAATTCCCTAAAAATAGAGTCTAACTCCACTTAATGCCAAACATCCTCAAAAGGTATGTTACAAGTCATCATGAGGTTACAATTAATTCAGTCAAAACCCGTTAGGTCTCACAAAAATGTGGATAAAACAAGCCATATAACTATGAGAGTTAAACACTGTTTAGAGGTTAGAAGATAAGGAAATTATGTGAAATTTATTAGATTCCCATAGAGGAAAAACAAACTTATTCCAAAAGTTCGTACATATTTTCAAGAACTTTAGATAATTTCCAGATTGCTAACTTTCCCCCCATGTTAAAAACATAGAGAGGAGCTGGGCAGTGGTGTCAAACGCCTTTAAACCCAGCACTTTGTAGGCACAGGCGGTGGATCTCTGAGTTCAAAGTCAGCCTGGGGGTCTATAGAGTGAGTTCCAAGACGGCCAGGGCTGCACAGAGAACCCAGGTCTGGAAAAACAAAAAACAACAAAACACATGGAGAGGAGAAAAAGGATTGTGTTCATCTTCGTTTACTCAAGCTGTGTACCACATAAGTACTTAATGGGGGAAAGAATTCTGCTGGGGCTGAGGGTATGACTCAGTGACAGAAGTCATGCTTAGTGGATGTCATGCACAGGTACAGTTTCCTGCATTACAAAAAGTCTGTTGAATGAGCCACCTGTGGTGGTACACACCTGTAACCCCAGCACTCTGGAGTGCAAGACAAAAGGAAAGAGAGTTCAAAGCCACTCTGGGATGTACACCAAGTTCTAGACTGACTGGAACTGCACACCAGCCCCAATGCCACACAATGATACCCTGCTTCAGAGAACAGAATAAAAAGCAAAATGTCATCTTTAATGAGATCATCTCATCTTTGCACCTGGGAAAATCCTTTTGGGTAAACACATTCCACAGGTCTGAAAGACAAACCCTGCCAACCTTTGCTGACAGCCAACTCCAGACTTGGTAACAAGAATTCACTGCGGTATGTAAGCCAGTGCTGAATACCTTTCCAGCTATTCTCCAGTTTTCAGTCAGGGTTCTCCAAAGGAACAGGCTGATAGAATGAAACCAATGGTCTGAGGCCATGACAAATCAAAACGCATTTATAAAATGTATGCCTGTTTTCTCTCCAAAACGCCCTTTGCTACAGTACTCTGCACCGAAGATCTGGTGTAACGGATCGGTTTAACAAGCTTTTCACCCTTTCCCCAGAGAAGCCTGGTCCAGTTACCAGCATTCTGCCATTCATTACACAGCCCGTCAGAAACTCAAAGTAACTGCAAATAAATCCCTGCTCACACCAAAAGAAACCTGCAGATTTAACAAACATTCACAATTAATTTAGTTAGGAACTAAGCAATTAAATTTATGGGGCATTTTTGTTTCTCTTTGCTTTTCATTCTTGCTCTGAAAAACACCCACAAACTTGTCTACAGGGGGAAGGGTTTGGTTCCAACATTACATTATTAATCCTCTTTTTACAGATAGTCTCGTACTACAGACACACTGATTTCTGCTTAACAGAGAATTAAAATCTTTCGTTTGCATAGCTCTGTACAACGACTTTACATATATCCCCTTGTAAGGGTGCACAACAAAAACAGTAACTTTTAGACTTAAGACACAAGATATCTTATCCAGAACTTCGTCTACCTTGATGTCTTCGATTTCACCTAGTGTTGGTTGGTGAGAACAAAATAAAGCACGAGCATAATGAAATCTGTAGCACTGCCAGTTCTCCAGGGCCGAAAGAAAATGTCTTCAAATGAGAAAAACGGAACTCACTTCGCAAAAGAAAAGCAATCCCAAACAATCGCAAAAGGGTGGGGAGGGAGTGCGGGAGACCCCAAATTCTAAATACAAGTCACATAAATCATTTCAGCTCAAAAACTCCAAACGCAGCAGCCAGCCCAATCACAGCATTAGCGCCTCCTTTCTATTTTCAATCTGGAGACTCAACGAAGAACAATTAAAACACACACACAGCAGAGCTCCAAAGTTTCACGAAGTGAGGATAAAGTCACTCAAGTAAAGAAAAGGCGTCCAGCAAGAGGCGACGAGCCGGGTCCTCCCGCCAATCCCTCTCCCGCTCCGCAGCGCTCGAACCGAACCTCCTGTAAAAACCTCCGAGGGAGACGGAGGACCCGCCGGACCCCGCAGCGCGCCACCGAGGAGCGGCCGCGGTCGCCAGACAAAGAGCAGCCCGCCCAGCGCCGGCCCGGCCGGGCCCCCCAACCGCCCGAGGAGTTGCGGGAGCGCCGCCGCCCGCTCCCGGCTCGCCCGAGCCGTTTCCCTCCCAATTTGGGAACCGCGCGCCTGGGGACAAAGAGGGCGGGCGCGCCGGGGGCGGCGGCGGCGGCGGGACGCGAGTGGCGACGCCCCTCGGGGCTCGGCGGGAAGCCTTCGGCGGTGTCCCTTCCCGCCGCGCCACTCCCGGGAGCCCGGCCCGCCACCGCCGCCGCTTTCGAGGCGCGTCAGAGTTCGGCCGGCCGCGCCCGGCCCGGGTCCCCCTCAAGCCGCCGCTCACCCGGCGGTGGGCGCCCCCGAAGCCGCCTCCTCCGCCGGGCCTCGGCCCGTCCCGCCGGCCGCCGCCTCATGGGCCCCGCGTCGCCATCACCTTCGCCGCCTCGCCGCCACCGCTGCCGCCACCGCCTTCTTCGCCTCAGCCCTCAGCCGAGGCTGAAGCCGCTCCCGCCGTGCCCGCCGCCTCCCTCTCTCGCTCCCGCTCCCGCCGCCGGGACCCGCGGGGAGGCGCCTGCGCACTGCGTGCCGCGGTGGGGGTGGGGGCGTCCCGTCTGGGCCTGGGAGCGGGGGCGCGGCGGCACGTGCGCCTCGGGGGCGGGGGGGCCGGGGGCCCGGAGCGCGCGGTCCCGCGCCGGCGCCAACTTTCCGTGACCGGCTGCGCGCGCTCCCTCCCGGGCGGTCCCGTACACGGTGGGCGCGCAGTGGCTGGAGGACCCCTGTGCGTGGAGCCGGTGGGCTGCTGACTCGGCGCGCTGCACTGCGGGCTCATTTCCTTCGCGGTGATTCAGGGAGCAGCGGGCCACTAACGGCGTGATGGAGACACGCCTCACCTGAGTTTCCAGGGTCAGGCTAAAGAGCTCTTGCCGTTATCTCATGCGCTAGGTCAGGGCCTTAGTCCCGCGGATCTCGGGATGCTCATGGTCGTTCTAGGTTCTGCCCTGCAGTTAACTCGAAGAGCCTCCGGGGCCTCTCGGCCAACCATCCCCGCCTGGTGGAATCGTGGCTTTTACCGTCGTTCTAAATAGTTTTGAGGTCGTGGGTCCTTCGGATTAGCAAAACCCTAATAGGCCATTTCCTCTTAACTCCTTGCATCCCAGCAAGATCCCAATTGCAAGACTTTAAAAAAAAAAAAAGACTGGAATTCCCCTGGTCTAAGCTGCCAGTTAAAGAAAACAGCTATAGAGATGGCTCGGCGGTTAAGACTTTTTGTACTGCTATTGCAGAGGAACCCCAACACCCACATCGGATGGTTCACAACCACCTGTAACTCCAAGCCCTGCCGAATCCGACTCCTCTGTGAGCTCCTGTACTGATGTCCACATACCCGCATACAGACACAGAGACAAATAATTAGAAATAATAAAAATCTCTAAACAACAAGAAAGAAACGGAAAATTCCCCCCTAAATACTTGAAATAGAGTGAGACTGGGTGACAAAGACAGCTTACCAAAGATAAGAGAGAGGAGGCAGTTTTGTAGTCAAGTGCTGAACTCCAGACTTACAAGTGGACAGGCTTTTAGTTTTGCCCTGGCCAGGGAAGAAATTAAGCTATAACAAGTGAGATGGCTTGAAAGTCAAATTTCACCTGAAGCCAAGCTCTACGAGCTAGTCACATGTAGCCCAGGCTGGTTTCAAACTCAATATGTGGCTGGTATCTGGCCTTGAACTTCTGACAACTGCTTCCATCTCTTAAGAGGTGAGATTTGAGGTGTGGCGGTGCCACACCAGTGCTTCGAACCCCTAGTTTTGTGTTTATGTTGGTTTTTGAGACAGAGTCCTTTATGTAGTTTTAGTTGTTCTGGAGCTTGCTATGTAGACCAGGCTAGTCTTCAAATGACAGAGACCCTCCAGCCTCTGCCAGATTAACAGTGAAGGTCACCCTTCCCAGCTCTGAGCCTCTGTTTTTATGTGATAGTTACTTCTGTGTTTGGTATACTGAGAGCAACGCTGTCCCACTTGGCTGTGTGAGTCTTTTTAATTCCTTAACTGGCTTGGCCTTAGTAGCAAAGTTCTCCCCAGTCAACCTTCATCACCATATTACCTCTCTAGAGATAAATATCAAGTGGTAAACATAAAGAGACTTTAACTGCATATAAATAATAATAATAAAAAAAAACATGTTGAGCTGAGGTGTAGCTCAGCTCTGGAGCTAGGATGCATATGACTTTGGGTTAATCGAAGCCTCCCCCTACCCCCCAAAGGGAAAGGACACTAAACACAGAGAACATCTTAACATGTTGACCAAAATGTTAAAGCCACAGCCTGGACACATGTGAAAATCAAAATCAGTACACATCACTCTGGAGAGCACATGTCCACTCAAGTGTCAACAGATGAGCACACTAGAACTTTGGAAATTCCATGGGAATTCTACAGAAACGCCTACAGATGTTCACCAAAATACTTGCAACAGAGTGTTCGTAGCAGCACAAACAAACAAAATATAGGAAACCACTCAAAATGCCCACCAACTACAGAATATAAAAATGCTGCTATAACCACACTGGTACAATGTGCATCAATGAGAATAAGCAACACGGAGTCATATAACCTTGTACTAAGTTTCCATTTATATATAGTTTGAAAACAGGCAAAAGGTATCGGTGCTGCTGAGTGAGAACCGAACTTACCTGGTGTGCAGGGCAGTGCCTGGAAAGAGCATGATGGGACTTTGGGGGGCTAGCTCTGTGCTTGATCTGGATGCTGAATACACAGGTGTGCTTAGTTGGTATGGTGAGCTGTAGACAGGTTTTCTTTTTCTTTCTGGGTGGTGAGAATCAAACTCAGGGCCTCCTGCATGCTAGGCAACTGTCTACCACTAAACTATATACCCCAGACTCTGAGCTGTATATTTGTGTGTGTGTAGTGTTTGCTCATGTGTGTAGGGGCCAGACGTCAATGTCAGATGTCGTAACTGCTCTCCACTTTATTTATGAGACAGAGTTTCTCACTTAACCTGGAACTCATTGATTCAGCTAGACTGACCAGCCACCAGAATCTTCAGGGATCTTCTCTCTACCTCCTGGGTGGAGCTCTGGGAGTCTGGTCTACATAGTGAGCTTCAGGACACTGAGGACCCCATGGAGAGACCCTGTCTGAAAACACACACACACACACACACACACACACACACGCACACACGCACGCACGCACACGCACACGCACGCACGCACACGCACACGCACGCACGCACACACGCACACACGCACACGCACACGTACGTGTGTCACATCCCACATTTTATGTAGGTGCTGGAGATCCAAACTCAGGTACTCTTGCTTTTGTTACAAGCACTTTACTGACCATCCTCTTCCCAGCCCTGTATAATTTTAATAGTATGTTACTTTACTGACCATCCTCTTCCCAGCCCTGTATACTTTTAATAGTATGTTACTTTACTGTGGACTGGAGAGGGGTCAATGGTTAAGAGCACTGGATGCTGTTCCAGAGGACCCTGGTTCAATTCTCAGTGCCATATAGCAGGTTACAACCATCTCTAACTCCAGTTCCATAAGGTTTGAAGCCTTCTGGCCTCCTTGAGCACCAGGCATGCATATGGTACACAGACATTTATGCAGACAAGCCACACATACACTTTAGAAATTCATGCGAATTCTACAGAAATGGCTACAGATTTTCACAAAAATGCTTACAGCTGTGTGCTCATAGAAGCAAGTAAAATAAAAATAAAATTGAGGAAACTATGCCAACAAAGCCTTGAGGTCTAGGAACACAGCTCAATGGTACAGCATTTGCTTAACGTGCAAGACTCTAGGTTTGAGTTGCTTGAGACAAAGTGAGAAAAGGGGCTTCTTACCTCTCCTGATGATCTGAGTTTGACCCACATGACAGAAGGAGAGTACTGACTCATTCAAGTTGTGGTCTGACCTCCACATATCCTGGATGTCATGCATGCAGGTGCAGAAGGAAGGAAAAATAGAAGTGGGTTTTTTACTAAGGTTTTTGTTGTTTTGATACAGAGATTTATGCTGCTTCCCAGGCTAGCCTTAAGCTTGTCATGATCCTCCTTCTCTGTTTTCCTTAGTGACAGGATCCTAGACAGAAGCCACCACAGGCAGCTTGGCTTCATCAGGTTCAATTCTCTCTCTCTCTCTCTCTCTCTCTCTCTCTCTCTCTCTCTCTCTCTCTCTCTCTCTCTCTCTCTCTCTCTCTCTCTCTCTCTCTCTCTCTCTCTCTCTCTCTCTCTCTCTCTCTCTCTCTCTCTCTCTCTCTCTCTCTCTCTGTGTGTGTGTGTGTGTTTCTTGTGACAAGGTCTCTCTGTGTAACTCTGGCTGTCCTGTAACTTCATATATAGACCAGGCTAGCCTCAAAACTCGAGGAGATCTGCTTCCCTTTGGCTCCTGAGTGCTGGCATTAAAGGTGTGCACCACACACACAGATGCAGATGACTGTAAAGGCATGGTGACTGATGGACTGCTCATGCTAGATGATGTAGTGTCAAATATATTCCCAATTATGGTGCCTTGGGTAAGTAGTGGGTACTGCACCCCAGAGCTTCCCCTGTGCTGCCCCTATCATTATAACTAATACATCTTACATCCTATTCCAAAAGGTTGATTGCATGGAATTATACATTTTACATCATTAAAGACAGACAGTTATATACATGTAGAATCAAATACTCATTAGGATGTCCTCCTATAAATTGATGAATAAGCCTGCCAGGGAAGCTATCCCTTATCTTTGTTTCTTATGGAGACTGGGGACAGTTCCTTCTAAACTGTTTCCTTGTTATCAATCATTACCTCTCTTTAGATATATGCCAGTGAGTTTCTTTTTAGTCCATGTGTCACAGATAGAGTCCTCTGGGAAGAGGGAATCTTAACTGAGAAATACCTCCATATAAGACTGGTCTGTAGGT